CGCCGACCCCCGGGGCCACCCCTGCCCTCGCCCCGAGCCCCACGCCCCGCGTCCCACACCCTCGCCCCCGCTAGCACTCAACCCCGCCCCGGCTGGTTGTTGGCCCCGCCCTCGGCCCCACACCCGCAGCTACCCCGGTCCCCCCAGTGATGGGTGTGGCCCCGGGGCGTTCCGGGGTGGGGAACAAAACCCCATTTTTGGGGTTTAGCCCACGGGGTGCGCGCTCTTACTGCGCACCCCCCACTTTTTTTTTTTTTCTTTTTTCTTTTTTTTTTGGGGGGGGGGGTTCCGGAGCCGGGGTTGGGGGTCCCCCCCCCCCCCCCCCCGGACCCCCGCCGCCCCCCCGGGGCCGGGCCCAGCCTCGCCCCGGCCCCTGGCCCTGCACCCCCGCCCCCCCCAGCACTCATGCCCCCCCCGCCGGCTGTTGGCCCCGCCCTCGGCCCCACACCCACGGCTACCCCCGTCCCACCAGTGGTGGGTGTGGCCCCGGGGGGGTCCGGAGTGGGGCACAAAACCCCATTTTGGGGGTTTAGCATACGGGGTGCGCGCTCTCGCTGCGCACCCCCCACTTTTTTTTTTCTTTTTTCTTTTTTTGGCGGGTCCGGAGCCGGGGCCGAGGGCACCCACCCCTGGACCCCCTCACCCCCGTTGGGGCCCTGGGGCTAGGGCTCGACAACCCTGGTTATAAGGACTGAAGTTCTGTAAAACCCGTTAACCCTTAGATTCTAATCGACTGGTGTGGTTATGCCTGATTGAAAACTACAGTCATCCTTAGCTTTGCTAATTGCTAATTTGCTAATTTGCTAATTTCAATAATTTGCTAATTTCCTAATTTGCTAATTTTCTAATTTCCTAATTTGATATTTGCTAAATGAATTTCCAGGTGCATTTTTTATGTCGGGCATGCTCTTGAATTCAGCAGAGAGAAAAAGTGGAATCCCTTGCGGATGACCCTGACCAATGACCATCTTTTTTTGTTCTTTTTATATGACCCTCAAAAGTTCAAAACCACAATCTGTTAATATACGACGTGAATCAGGATGGTTGGAATAATACACACCAAACATATCCTTTGAATTGCTGAAACTATTGAATGAATTCCATTAAGTTCCCGCAACTGCCCTGTGAATTTGTGAATTGATCAATTTATTCAATTTTATTGAGATCTTGAATAATGCGACCTTAAACCACCAGTACATGGGCCCAGCCACCTTGAGAATCACAATAAGCTCTGATCAAGTCACTCCGGAAAAAATGGAGGGTTGGGGCAACTGGACCAAAATGCCTGGTGGCTCTAGCCAGAACCAAACAAAAACTCTGCGCTGGCGTTTTGGCAAAGCTTGGCGCGCAAGGGGGTTCGAGGCTCGCGAATAGTTTAGCCCTTAGATGTACTGGTCGTTTAGTGCCCATTGGTATGAATGGCAAGCAAGGTGAACTGCAACTCTTACCTACCTATCTCCATCATCTGGTCTTGCATCATCTTGATGTCACAAATCAATTGGACGAAATCCAACAGCCGCGGCGCCAACTTTGACGCTATCTCGTTTTCTTTGCCTTTAGCAGCCTTGTCCTTTGCTGAGCCTTTCCCCTGCACAATCGACTTGTCCTTCGCTGAGCTTTTCTCCTGCACAGTCGACGAATTGATCGCAAAGCCAAAGCAACTGGTGTGAAAAGCAAGGCTGTAAAAACATGCTTGCCGGTGATAACTAACCGGACTGACGCCGCCCAGAATAGAAGGGGCATTGTTGTTGTTGTCAGAAAAAAAAGAAAGGGGCAACTATGTTGGAGTCACACCCACGGTTCAGAATAGGCAGTTCCCGATGTTATGGTGCAAAAAAGGCGACCCCCTAAACCCCCTAAATCTGCCAAGTGCCACTGCGGGTAACGACTGGCGCAATTTTAGACCCCCGCTAAACTTGCAATTTTTGAAACTCGCACCATGACACCAGCGCCGCTATGTCTTGTATGGCCTATTTCAAACTAAAAGTGTGTCACAGCCACAGTTTCCCCAAAAAGAAAAGAAGAAGAAGAAGAAGAAGAAGAAGAAGAAGAAGAAGAAGAAGAAGAAGAAGAAGAAGAAGAAGAAGAAGAAAAGCAAATGGCTTACAGCATGCACCACCTCTAATCTGAGAAATGGACCATGCATTCACAGCAAAGCGTGGCCATTTAAGATCGACTCGATTACATTGGTTTATTTCATACTTGCGGCGCATCCCGTGCGCGCCACTCGCACACATGCGGCGCACTGCGCATGGGAAAAGACATGTGGTTTGAAAAGACATGCGGGAAAAGCCGCATGTCTTTTCAAACCGCACGGCGCAGCGCACCGATGGCGCACTACTACTCAGTTTTGCAGAGTAATTGTCAGAATATGTCAGAGCTCTCACTTGGGCCAAATGAGCAAGGTGCATGAAAAAAAAAACATTATCGTCGCCTAAGTTATTATGGGTTTGAAAAGACGAACGGGGGTCCTTCGCAACATCTGCGAACTTGGAACAACACAGAGAAGATTAGCATGACACATACAAATCGCGAATGGATGAATGGATTCACAGATCTGTTACGATCCTGGCCAATTTCAAAGTATACATTCATCAGAAAGCACAATGCCGTCCAATTGCAAAAAGAAATGAATGAACTTGAGAGGAGAGAGAGGAAAAGAAGAAGAAGAATAAGTAAGAAGGAAGAAGAAGATGATGTACTCCAGCATAGGCCAATGGCAAGGCTCTTCTTCTTCGCCAACCAATCTCCTCCTCCTTATCTCCTCCCCTCTTATTCAAACAAGAAATAACAATAGTAATGTTGAATGGCTGAACCAGAATCAATGTCCGAATCCCACTTCTACTGCAGGCACAACATTCCACCATAGCCATGGCCACCCTCCCTCTTCCTCTACATGCAGGCCGAGGCTATGGCGGAGCACTGAGGGCTCTACCCTCCTGTCCAAAGGACAACCCAAAGCAGGTATGTTGCTGCCCTTCTGGCAGCTATGCCGCTGCTCACTCAACCGCCATACCTGACTCTGTCCCGGACTTCCTTGATGCGGCACTACCCCAACTGGGGCCTTCCAGATGCAGCGCCGAACAAGGTGATGAAGATGGTGTCCACCATAGCCAGGTAAGTACCTCGCCACTCTCCTCCTTGGTCCCCTTCTCCCTCCTCCTCTTACCAGTAGAGCTCCACCATAGCCAAGGTGGAAGCTCCCGGCGTCTTCCTCCCAGCAGCACTGTAGTACCCAGCGCTACTCCAGCCAGCGCTCCAGCAGCGTGTCTCCAAACTTGCACACTGAAGAATGAGGCCGAGCCCTTCCCTCGGCCTCTTGATATAGCGGCCTGCTTGCCTCCTGGGCGGTGACTTCCAGGCCGCTCGGCCTCCCAAGCAACCGGTACCTCCTCCCGTTCGGAGGGAAACATCATTGCAGACTCTGATATTGCCCGCACAGGCTCTGGACTCAGACTGGATGGACTGGTACCAGCCTAGACCTAGCCAACCGCTACTGGGCCTCTAAAAATGCCAACTTTGTCTTCTTTTGCTCGGCCTCGAGTACCCGGCACATCTACTGCTACTGGGTGCGGTACTTCCAGGCCGCTCGGCCTCCCAAGCAACCGGTACCTCCTCCCTTTCGGAGGGAAACATCATTGCAGACTCTGATATTGCCCGCACAGGCTCTAGACTCAGACTGGATGGACTGGTACCRGCCTAGACCTAGCCWACCGCTACTGGGCCTCTAAAAATGCCAACTTTGTCTTCTTCTGCTCGGCCTCGAGTACCCGGCACATCTACTGCTACTGGGTGCGGTACCGGCCTACCTGCTACTTGAGTGTTTTTCCGCTGCTCTAAGCACCGCGGGCCCCTGGCTCCGCTACTTGAGTGTTTTCCCTGCTGCAACCCCCAATGCCACGGCCACAGGTAAGTACCGGCCCTACGGGTCTACCAAACAAGCAAGTACCCTTGCGGGTCACACACACACTCATGCCGACAAGCACTCAGACAGGTACGCACACATACAGACTTAGAAAACACAGCAGAATGCGGGAATCTCAGCAAGGCATCCATTCCATCGGCAGAACTTCGGAAATCAGCAGTGTTCTCAGTCTGTGTTATGGCGGGTCATTACAGATCTCTGAAAATGATGTCCAGTTTCCAGCTGGTCCTAAACGGTTAGCTGCAGATTACACTTTTGTTGTTTCTTTTGCCGGCATTCGTAATCGATTAGGGTTTCAGGTTTAGGGGGCGGTCCTGCTTTTCCAAATTGCGATTGACATTCTGGTAAGTGTGTCATTAATAGCTGTAGTCGGCTGGATCGGATCGTTCCCAGCGGGCTGAACGGTAAGAAGGGGGTGGGGGGAGCTCTATCTTGCAGGGGCATCACAAGGTGGGGGGTGAATGTCTGAAAGAAGGTAGGGGCGGAGTAGGGGTTTGCCCTATTCTGGGGCAGGGGCAGGTGTGTGGGTCAGCATCAGTCCCAGCGGAGGCAGAAATGGGCAAGGCGTGGGGGGGCATGCTTTAGGTGGGAACTGTGTGCTCCTGGGGAAAGGGGGGTAGAGGGTTGGTCCTATATTGGGGCCGAGGGAGAGCGGGAGACTCGCCTCGGCGGAGGCAGTGTAGGGCTGAGGGGGGAGGCGTAGGGGGAGGGAGGGGCGATCTCTCTCGAAGAATTCTGACATCCAGTTTAGTAATTCTTTCCATTTGGTTCACCTCTCGAGGAGGTTGTAGGAATAGGTGATATCTGGCAAGTCATCTTGTGGTTGAAAATTCGGTGGTCCTCGAAGACCGATGCTGGAGCAACGCTGGCCGGAGCCGGAGCCAGGTGGCGCAACTCTGTGACCTAGCTTAGTGGGGGTGTTAGGCCTGGTAGAGAGATCTGGGAGCTGTTTGCGGGGGCAGTCTCAGTGGTTATCAGGGTTCGTAACTGAAGCAATGCTGGCCGGTGCGGAGCAAGGTGGTGCAACTCTGTAACCTAGCCTGATGGGAGCATGAGGCCTGGAAGAGCTTCGGTTTGTGCTGAAAACAGCCATGCTGGTGGTGGTCGAAGGTGGATTGATTAGGTTTCACCTATCTGATTCGTGGTTGGGAGTCTTGATTGACACACATTTGCTGAATGTTTCTGAGTTTTCCTTTTTCTTTAATTGTTCTTAGCCGAAGCCGGGTAATGGCCCCGGTAGTTCATTTTTGTATTCTGATAAGGGACGCTGGGCCCGGTTCCCAGCCGTGTTGCTCCCCACGAATAGATTGGAGCATCGTCTCACTTAAAAAAAAAAAGGTTTAGGGGGCGGCCAAGCTTGGGGGGGGGAGAGGGAAGGGAGGAATGGGGTCCACCCGGGTGGGTCTGGCTGGGTTGATGGATAGGCACACACACACACTCTTTCCATCATGTAGTTTGCACTTGCATCTCTCTCTCTCTCTCTCTCTCTCTCTCTCTCTCTCTCTCTCTCTCTCTCTCTCTCTCTCTCTCTCTC